TCCTTGATTTTTCCTGTAGGTGCATCTCTTCTTGTTCCACAATTCTTGACAGCTTCTCTTTTGTTGCTAAACATCTATCATAATTTCCTACTAAACATCTAACATATTAAATCTTATTTAACAATTATTTAGATAAATATTAAAATAATATTATATATTTAATATAATATTATCTTTGTTTATTGATATTGTATAGTAAAATATTGATATAGGTGACAATATTATTCTTTAATACATTAAAATACTAATATGTATTGATAATTATTATCTGATAAAAAGCTAAGTTCGATATAAAATTATTATATGATATGCTCATTTTTAAAATAATTATCATTTAGTATATATAATATATTATATTAATATAATTTCTTAATAATCATTGTTATAAATATTAAGATAATAAAATTTGATCAATAATATTAATTTGGAAATAATTATATTTATTTGTATATAATATAATTATATATTTTGATTTAATTTCATAATATTTTGTATCAATAATACCTATATTTAGTTGAATAATATTATTTATAGTGAAATAACTATTATGATGCTAGTAATTGTTTATGGAGTATGAATGGTAATTTGTTAACAATTATAATGATAAAATATTCAATAAATATTCTGGAATTATCAATATTGTAAATATATTTTATTAATATTGGAAATAATTGATAGATTGTTAAATATTATAATACAGAATATCATCTTCCTATCTGACATTAATGATAAATTTTGACTAATCTAAAATAATATGCAATTATCATCAAAAATATATTATATAATAATTACTATTATTAATATATTGTCATACTAATTACTATTATTGATAGTATATATGGGAAATCCTATAATATTAATACCTATATTTTGATAATAGTTTGATTTAAAATATATATGAGATTACAAAATATTGACAAATTTTTAGAATATATAATATTAAATTATTATATATTCTCATAAAAATTATTTTTATACAAATCTTGTCTATTAATAACCTAATTATATATTATTATTACATATAAAATAATATAGATGATCAAATTATATCAAATAATGAATATTGTGACAATAGAATATTTTTATTTAGTAAATTATTATATCCAATAATAATTGAATATTATATGATTAAATATTCATTATTTTGTATATGATTATATTTTAGTCCAGATAATATTTTGATAGAAATAAAATTAAAATAATTTTGATAATATTAATATATAGGGTCAATTTATTATATTTAAATATTAATAAATAATATTTAGATAACCTATATTAACATTAGTTTGGATATAAATAATATAATGATATTTTTAAAATTAATAAAATATTTAAATTATCAAATATTTTTAGTTAAATAATGATTATATCAATTAATATAATAGATCAATTATAAAATAGGAATAATAAATTTATATAAATATCATCTTATAATTTGGCATAATCAATAACATCGATATGATTACTGTAATTATATTGAATAATAATATATTCATAATATTGTGAGTTTGCTAGGCATATAATAATTATAATATCATTATTTTTTTATATTACTAATAAAATATAATTTTACTTAAATTTATTAATATACAATCATTAGTTATTATATTTTAACAATAATTTAGCAAATATTTAAATAGATGATATTTATTCCAATGAAATTATAATCTTATTTATAAATTATGAGATCATCTTTTTAATAATGACCTTCTAAATATTGGAAATTTATAGATAATATTAAAATTTGTAGTTTAAAATATTATATAACTATTATCATATAATAGGTCATTATTAACCAAATGACCAAATTTAGCTAATAATTGAAATCATAAATATACTATATCAATAAGTATAATATTTTAAATATTAATAATTATTCTATAATAATTTTTATCATTATTATAATAAATAATAGTATATAACAATATTTGATTAAATATCTTATAAAATTATTATAGATTAATATAATAATTCCTATTTTATTATTTTAAATAAATATATTACAATAAAATAATAAATATTATATAGTTTAAATAATAATTGAGAATCAAGTGAATATAGATGATGATGATGATGATGATGATGATGCATACAGAATTATTGTATGATATTACCTTAAAATAATTTATTAATAATTAATTATTTTTATTAAAAGTATTATAAATATATTCAATAATATAGTTATTATTTTAATATAAATATACTAATGCAAGATTATAATAAATATTTATAATATAAATAATATTATCATAACTATCATAATATAAGATAGCTAATATTAGATAATTTAATCAAAATATCAAAACATTTAATATTATATTATTGGATAATTAATATCAAATTCTATTTGGATAATTATTATTTAATCACAATAATAAATAATAATAATAATAATAAATGATTAATAGTGATAAACTAATAACATAATATATTATGATCATTACTATATTATATTTTCTAATTATTTTATGTATCAAATTCTATTTGTATAATATTTTGACCATATTTGCTAAAATAGATAAAAATCTATGATATAATAATAATTATCGATAATGTATATCTAATTATTATTTTATCTATGTTTTTCAGATATTAATTAATAATATTGTTTATACCAAATATAATATAAAATAAGAATATACAAGTACCAATAGATGATAATATACTAGGTGAAATAAGAAAATTGATTATTAATATACAAATAGTTATTGTATCCGATAAAATAATTAATTATTTTTTATTAATAAAATGTAATTTAATCATATTTATAAATAAAAATAATAATCTAAAAAATTTTAGGATATAATATAATATTGATAATATTAATAGGTAAATATAATTATTATAATAATTAACTATAATATTGGATAATGATAAAATATTTAGATAGGTTTATGAATACCTAAAATCATAAATATTTTAAAATTATTACCTAGGTTACGATATTATTATTGTAAATTATATAATTACAATATAAAAATATAAATATAAACCTATATATTTATTGATATTGTTCCAAATATAGCCTAAATGATATTATTTTCTTTAATTATAATTATTTTTTCTATATATTTATCCTCATAATTATATACCATGTAGATAATATCAATTAGATGTTTGAATAATTAATAAAATAATAATAATTGATTATAGTATTATTAAATATATAATTATTATAATTAAATAACTATTACAATAATTCCTATTACGATACATATTTACTATATGATAAATAGTTTATCAATGAAAGTTAACAATAGATTATTATATCAAAATATTATAAATTATTATATTAAAAAATGATATAATAATAACTATTCCATTAGTTATTATAATATATTCAATAAAATAAATATATTAAGATAATACTTTATGTTTTTCAGATATATATTATATATTAATCTAATATATCTTAAACTAATAGAATCGTGTAATATATTATTCATAATATTATATGATATTAATTAAATAAATATTAAAATACTATATATTCTTATATACTCAATTAATAAATTATTTTTTATTTAATTATTTATAATCATTATTATTATTAATGATAATTAATATAATATCAAAAAAAATATTATAATTATAACACAATATTTTAGCCTAGTTAGTATTCTTATTAAAATATTTGTTATTAATCAATTTCATTATTATTATACTTAAATAAAATATTAGCCTATAACTTATCATATTGAATAAGAATATTGATTCTAATTATAATATTAATATTATGAATAATATTTTAGTAATTTGGTCATATATTTTAATTTGATCAGTAATAATAGATATTTTAAATAGCATATTTTGACAACCAATAGGAAATATACTATTTATCTAATAGATATATATAGATTATGTAAATTTATAATTGTATTCAAATTTGTATATTAATATTATTTTCTAATTTTATCATATTAATTAAATTATCATAATACAATAGCTAATTATAATACTATCATAATCATTATATTTTTGGTATAAGATAGTAATAAATATGTTATCAAATATTAATGTAGATTTATTATAATAAAATATAAGATATCTTTGGAATATATAATATTATTTACTAAACTTATTGAGATTACGAACAATTACTATGGTTATTGATAATGCAATAATAAAGTTTACTATTGGTAATAATATTTAGTATTTTGTATCAAATATTGATAATGTATTTATAATTTATATATTCTATCTATTATATAGTCTATTATAGTAATATATTGAAACATATTTTTGAAAATAATGATAAAAAATACTATTAATAATATTACTATCAATATTTCAAAATATCAATAATCTATAATTATGATTAATATTTAGATTATTAAAAATATTATATTTATAATCTTATTTATGATAAATATATCTTATAATAATACCAAAATCTATTAATAAAATAATTTTAGAGTATCAATAGTATTTTCTAAATATTGTTTAGTATTTAATAATTTAATCAATGTTATAGTTAATATATAATTATCATAAATGATATATGATTATAATTGAGTTATATTGATAATTGTTTATTGAATAATTATCATATCATTATATTTGGTATATAGATAATATTTTAAATGTATTTACTAGTAGTAAATTATAACTTATAAAATAATATTTAAAATATTTAATTATAAGATGATTAATTAATATATATTGATAGTTAAATATTATAAATATTATTTAATTAGGAAATAATAAATTACCAATTTAAAAATAGTTTAATAATCATATTAATAGTATTATGATATTAATAATAACTTTAATATTTTTTATACAAATAAATATTATCAATAATATACAATATATTATATAGTTGATTATAATGCTATTTATGTTTAATCCCAAAAATTAATTATTACAAATATTATAATAATAGTTTATTTAATCTTATATCTAATTAATTGCTAATATTAAAAATTATCAGTTATGTTATCAATAATATAGATATAAAGTATTGAAATATTTTGATTATGATAAGAAGAATAATAAACCAAAAAGAAACCCTAGCTGGAAGCTCTCGCAGCCACGTAAATTGTAAACTTCTAGTAGAATCCTTGGCGAATACGTTTCCCCAATGGAGGAAACTGTTTTCCCACTCCCTACAGCCTCTAACCCTATACCCATCCCAATCACCATGGGCACCATGCAAACCATGCCTGAAACCATAATTCCCCAGCAACCTAATGTACACAAAATTTCTTACTTAGCCACAACAGCAGCAAACCTGGTACCTAAACACTGCTTCCCTTCCATCTCCATCATGCCTAAACCATTGTCTATGTATGAAGCAGAACCCGCTGTAGAGTTTTCAACGACTTGCAGCAAGCTACCACCATATTTGTATACACACTTGTGGCCAAATTTTCAAGAAGCAGGCCCTCCATTAACACCATTAGAACACATATACAACAACAATGGGGGCTAGCAGAGATCCCAGTGGTGGAATTACTAGACCCTAGACACGTTTTGATAAGGTTGTTTAGTAGGGAAGATTTTATCAAAGCTTGATTGCATGATAATCACCTCATTAAGACTCGCTATTCAGATTATTCAGGTGGGATGCCATGTTCTCCACAAGATTTGAGTCACCAAGAGCTGCGATATGGTTAAGGTTACCTGAACTACCTCTGCCTTTCTTCCCCTCGGCATTTCTCACTCAAATTGTTCGTCCGTTTGGAACATTCCTCTACCTAGATGCAAGAACAATAAATGGCTCTCATCCAATCCATGCAAGGGTCTTTGTCAAAGTTGATCTAACAAAACCAATCCCAACTCGGGTGTGGATTTCTATAGGCCCGGATAAAACCGAAGGCTTCTGGCAAGCTATTCAGGTGGAAACTAGTATTACGTATTATGATTTTTGTCATCTATAGGGCCATGTAGCAGCTAATTGTTGCAAACATTTGACACATAATCAGGGACCCCAATAGCATATTAGAACAAGCCACAAACAAGGTGAAATACAAAAGATAGGAACTAAATAGACATGGTAAAGAGTTAAGCAACAGAAACAATCACTATAGGCATCTATAGGAGAAAATCCACCTATAGTTGAAAATCGTTTGCAGATAGCTCATCCAGGGCCAAAGGATTATTTGGAAAGGGGGAAATGTAAAATATCATCTCAAGGTATACTGTCACTTAAGCCACAAATGAATGTAGTCACCGAGGGGGAGGCTTTCTATTCCAGAACCCATGAGGGTAACGATCATCTCTAAGAAACACACCGTCTAAGAAACACACCATCTTAAGAATGAAAAGGTTAGTAATGAGGATATTAATGTACTGGCTTTGGTTGATATGAATCAAACAGATAGTGCGGGGTACATAAATAAGATGCAAGACCTATTGAGGAAGGGAAATAAGAGGACAGAGGTTGCTAGTACTGGAAAGATAATTTTGGGAAACCATTCCACATCGGAGTAGTGTATTAAGGAAGAGAGGATGCAGTAACAAGTCTAAAACAGTAGGGCAGATGGGGCATTAGTAGGGAATATCTCACTGCCATGCCAGACGAGTTTGCCAACAATGAATACACTAGAGTTAGCAACATCGATTGAGTTAGATGAAATGGTTTCTCCTAAACAATTTAGCTATTTGATGGGTATCCAACAAGGTATCATGGATAATGAGAGATTAACGACACATATAAAATCTGATCTCACGCCTACGGTAAACTCTGAAATGGGAATGGATAAACAAAACTGGGTTGAGATGGAATATCTAGGAAGGCTAGAGAAGATACGAGCTTATGGATGCACTCTCACAAATAAACAAAAAAAGAAATTGTTAAGAAGCTTGGTGCAAGGTAGTAACAAGAGGGTCACTAAATCGACTGAAGATCATCATGGAGAACCTTTCTTCTCCCTCCTATGAATAGCATTATTTGGAATATACAGGGCATTGGTTCCCTTAAAAAAAGAGATAGCTGTAATGCCTATCATGGCAGCAACAAGTTTCTCTTCTCGTTATTTTAAAACCAAAGCAACTAGTTGAAAAGCTACCTAAGTTAGCCAAGATGTTACTCTTCACTGGCTATGCACATGGGAACCCCACAAACACTCACATATGGGTATTATGGAAGGGAAGAATTCAAGTGGATATAAGGGCTAGTTCCCAATCTGTCACCATGGCTGTCAAGGATACTATAGTAGGTGTGGAAACTATTCTAACAGCAGTTTACACGAGCTATAATATGGTGGAAAGAAGAACTATACGGAGCAATTCAGAGGCCTTAAATATTAACCAGCCTTGGATCATTGGTGAGGATTTCAATGCTATTATGAGGTATTAGAAAAAATTGGAGGTACACATTTAAACTCTAGCTTTATTTTTTATTTCAATAATGGTATGCAAACACTCGATCTACAGGATATAGGATACACAGGTAGCAAATTCACATGGTGTAATAATCAGTAGGGAGGGGCTCGTATTGATAAGGATATACTTCAAGCCTTGCGTGTCCATATACATCTCTGTTTCTTATTTACGTATCACTGCATACTCTCACTTCTCATGCATATCCTTTATGCAAGTATATCTTTACTCCTTACATAGCTATAATTCTTGTCTCTGTAACAGTCCTTGTGTAGTGCATCTCTGTAACATATAAATACCATACTTCAATAACAGTATTATTATCTTTGGATCATAAATAACTCTTTCATGGTATCAGAGCTTTACGAGGTTTAAAAACCCAGCTTGGTCCAAAACAACACTGCTGTTCATCACCGCTCTTTTTTTCTCACCAAGCTTCATCCATGGCAGACCAGAACGCTGTCTAGCAACCCTCTGCTCCTCACCAAATAATTGTCCCTCGTCAAGAACAAGTGCAGCCCTCATCTACAACCTATCCCAACATGACTCCTCATCTATCCATCAAATTAACCTCGGCCAATTACCTCCTCTGGAAAACTCAGCTGCTGCCATTATTACGTGGGTACAAATTGGCTCATCACATTGATGATAGCCTTCCCACACCTGCAGCAACAGACCCAGTATATACCGATTGGTATACACAAGATCAAGTTGTTTTAAGTTGGATTGTAAGCTCCCTCTCTGCCAACCTTGTCACTCATTTGGTAGGAATAAACACAGCCAAAGAAGCTTGGGAAAAGCTTGCAAAAATTTATGCCTCTGGCTCTCGCACACAAGTACGTCAACTACGTACCAGCTTGATTGAATTAGCACAAAGGAATGATGACATCCCAACTTACTTGCAGCGTGCTAAGGAGATTTCGGACAAACTTGCAGCGCTGCAACATCCCATTCCAAAAGAAGACTTAGTAGATTACATCCTACGAGGTCTAGTTCCAGTATACCGTCCATTTGTGCGTAACATAGAAGCCAAACTTACACCAGTATCCTACGATGATCTCTTCTCCTTGCTGCTTAGTGAAGAAGTGTAGCTAACACGACAGGAACATGATGAACCAGTGCTGCCAATAGCATAATTTTCTGCTCACGGTTTTAACTCCTCTGGTACTCAAGGACGCTACCGTGGCAAAGGCAGAAGCAATGGTTCTGCGAGACAGCAGCTTGGCCCTCACACCACTGACAGGAGCCGTTCTAGTCGACAATACTCTGCTCAACAAATTTGTTTCAATTGCAAAGGCAGTGGACACCATGCCAGTCAGTGTCCTTCACCCAAACAAACCAATGACAGATGCAACTTCCATCACTCACCCAAACATGAGTCCCACTTGGCATCCAAACAACCTAACCATAAAGCACAACAGTCATGGGTTATCAACACTGGAGCAACGCATCATTTAACAGCTGATATGGAAAACTTAGGCATCCACTCCGAGTATAATGGTCCAGAAGAAGTAACAATTAGCAATGGTAAAACACTTCCTATTCCTTGCATCGGTTCGTCTGTTTTTTCCATTGCTAACAAACAATTTTCACTTGATAATATTCTTCTTGTTCCACAGGCTTCTAACAATTTGATGTTAGTAAGTGCTTTTACCAAATCTAACAATGTCTCTCTTGAATTTTTTCCCACTTATTTTTTGATAAAGGATATCCACACGAAGAAGGTTTTGCACACCGGGAAGCTTAGCGATGGACTTTATTCAATGCCAATAGGTCGCTCTATGGGTGACTCACCACAAGCCCTTTTGAGCTCATTATCTACTTGGCATGCACGTTTAGGTCATGCATCCTTTAAAATAGTGCAACAAGCACTTCACCGATCTAGCATTAGTGTGTCCGTCCGAGATTCTACATCTCTTTGTCATGCTTGTAGTGTAGGAAAGATTCATAAGTTACCCTTTCCCGAGTCTTCTTTTCAAGCATCAAGTCCTTTAGATTTAATCTATTCCGATTTATGGGGCCCATCCCTTGTTCCGTCCATCAATGGAAATCGTTATTATGTGCTATTTTATGATCATTTCAGCAAATACTCTTGGGTCTACTTTATCAAATATAAATCGAAGTTACCAACTCGCTTTATCAAGTTTAGACATGTTATTGAAAAATTTTTTGATCCTCAATTAAAGCATTTCAAGCCTATTGGGGAGGGGAATTTCAAAGCCTAGCTAAATATCTATGTGACAATGGCATTACCCACCGCAGACTCATGTCCCAAAACTCCTAAACAAAATGGTCATGTCTGAGCGAAAACACCGTCACATGACCGAAACAGCCGTGCTCTACTTCACCATGCCTCACTCCTCCATAACTTTTGGGAACATGCCTTTGCTACCGCAAGTATATTCCATTAACCGACTCCCCACCCCACGACTCAACCAAAAAAGCCCCTTTGAGATACTATTCCATCAAGTACCAAATTATGAAATGCTTTGTATTTTTGGATGTCTATGTTATCCTTGGCTACAACCTTACACCACAAATAAGTTAGACCCCTGGTCTCGTCGATGTATTTTTCTTGGATATAGCACCTTACATAAGGGATATAATTGTTTAGATTTGGTCACCAAAAAATATATATCTCACGTCATGTCTTGTTTGATGAACAGGTTTTTCCATATAAAACAAAAATGGGTGAAGCTCCGGTGTCCTCTAAAACTCATACTTGTTGTGCCACTTAACCTACCGCGCCTACCGCCTCCTACATCTACAACTACTCCAAACAACACCCCAAGCTTGCTACCTCTTCCCCGCCTACTCGTCTCTAGCCGTTCAAGCATACCGCCGACCAA